ATTCACTAAATAAATAGGAAAAGGCTATAAGTAGAGGCAAAGGCTTTAGAAAGGCTGCACTTTCAAGAACAAATACATGCTACTAGACTGTTTTATTTGAATTATTAGACTGATCTCTCAATTAGTCACATAGCAGACTGAAGAGCATCAAAATTATCTATCAGCCCTTCAGTTTGTTCAAAACTTGGTTTTCCTTTATTGTTTTTTGGGGGAATTTTTGTACAAGAAATATCAAGAGATTCAGAACCTTCAAAAATAGGTCTGGTTCTGCAGCGTGACAAATATTTTTTTTCTAACACCAGGGCTCATCAGTAATACTCAGTTCCCTGTTTTATACTCTGTGTATATTGTAATCTGAATGACAAAATTTAGGGTTGACCTTCCATTTTTCAAGTCATAGATATGATATTATAAATATCATTATTAAGATTTGAAAGAAAAGCCCCTAGGATAATAGTCATTATGATCACCATGAGTAGTGATGAGTAGAGCGCAAGTTTTTATATCCAAATCTGGCTGCAGAAAGGTATTAGCAATGTCTAATACAAAGCATTATTTCAGTTACAATACACTGCAAATTCGATGTGAGCTTATGCAATACAGAACAACTGTATGTATTTTAACATTAACAAAACACTTTAAAAAAATGCACACCTACGCTATTAGTAAACACAGTGGCTGACCAAGATGGTCTGAATATAATTGAATATAATGGAAATTTTATTCTGCATATGCAACTCTGTAGAAATATCCTTTCAATAAGACTGTTCATTTTCAACCATGTAGCAGGTAATAGTTAATGGAATATGATTATATATACAAGTTATTAGTACACTTATTAGAACAATTACCACATTTTATTCTATAAAGTCTTAAGGGCATATTTTTCTCTGGAATTTCTCCTCCCTAGCTACTTTGATTGTTCCATGCTCTGCAGAGAAAAGGAACATATTCTAAGTACTGCTTAAATTTTATTACTACTTCTTTAGAAAGTTACCTTAGAAGAAGGATCATCAACACGGATGACAGGGTGCCTTTTTCTTTGAGAGGTGGCAATTGTTACTTTAATGGACTCTTCTGACATTGTGGACTACTAATCAGCAGTTTTGGGGTCTTATTGGCAGGATGCTGTCAACATATATGGTCCTTGCAATGGCCAACAACTTTGTGCTGTTATAAATGTCATCCATTCACTTTCACTTTGTATCTTACCAACAATGCTAAAGACAGTTAGATCTTTCTGTTTATTTTGGTCTGTTTTGAAGATTGAGGGTTGAAGGGAAGACGCGAGAGCCAGGACTTTCAAAGACGACAAGGTTTATTTTAAACAGAGCAGTGACAGCGATTCAAAGAGACGAAATCCACGCCAAGGTATTTATATAACATTTGTTTAACGGGGAACCAATAGGAGGCCGGGTAGCATCCAGCAACTGCTAACGCAGTACCATGGCCAATCAGAATGGGTTGGCTGGCTAGCAACAGGCTATGCTGTGCCTCAGCCAATCAGGGCTCAGCATAGGCTGTTGCTGGCCTCCTAGAGGATTTTATTAATCCTTAACATATTTTATTATTGTTATCGGTTTGATGCCCAGTCAGCCAGATGTTCAAACTGGAATTTGTTATTAGAATGTTCTATNCCTTCTTCGTCCAGGAACGAAAGCCATCAGAGACATACAAAAGAATGTTTTAATCAGTCCAGGCTCTTGTTGGCTGCAAGCCCAAAATAAACAAGAGATAAACTCTCTGGCAGCAATTACTACAAACCTGGTAATGCAAACAAGCTTCTCACAGCAAACCACTTATCCAAGTTGCTTTCTCTCAATCATGAACGTGAACGAGAACATTGACTCCTGCAACCAGGGCATGGCATAGTCTCTTTTATACTCAGGAACGGATCTTAATCAGCATCAGCTAAGCACAATCATCTCCTACAATTCCTTCCATCGAGTAGCCCTTCACCTGCATGCATCCTGAAACAACTCCCAAATGTTTTCCTGAACATTCCCTTTGATCCAAGACTCTGCCGGCACTTGTGGCCAACCAGTCTCTCCTCACCCTGCTCGGAATTGACACCCTGTCCAGGGTCCTCCACCTCCTCCAAGGCCGACTCATAAGACCCCTCGCTGTCGGAGTCTGGCGGCAGCTCCAACGGCACCTGCCGGGCCACAACAGTGACCATTCTAAGTTGCAAGGGCACTGAATAAAGTGACCATTTTTCACCCTTACGTCTGGCAGCATTCCTATGATCGAAATTCAGACGCTTGGCAACTGACTCATATTTATGACAATTGCACTGTTCCAGGGGTCATGTGATCACTTTTTGCAACCTTTTGCAACTTTTACTGCATTAGAGTGTTATAGGTGAATGAACTTGAATCGTGACCTTGCTTGTTTCATTCATTTCCCCCCCAAGGGCTGTTATAAGCTTGTATTGACTGCAAATATATGCCAGGTTGTTTTCAGGTAGGGAAACAAGGACCAGAACAACAAAAGCTTACACAGTTTAATAAAAAGAAGATAATAATAATAAGGAAGGACAAGGATCAGCAAGAAAAGAGGCAAGGATAATGAGATAATGAGAAAGGACAAGCATTGATCACTTCTGCAAAGAGAGTTTGCAGCACAAATTAACAGATGAAACAACTCTCCACAAGGAAGGCATTCAAAGAGAGAAGCAAATCCAGTGGGTGAGACAAACAATCAGAAGCAAGAGACATAGATTAGATTTTGCATTGCTAGTTCTCAGGAACAGTTTTCAGGTCTTTGAAGATGAATCAGGCTCTGAGAATTCAGGAGACTGAATAACAGGAGAAAAAAGGGTGTATTCCTAAAGGGCAAAAATAAAGTGCTCACTACTACATGAAACATGTTCTATTTTATTCTGTTTTGGTAAGTTGCCAACCTTGACTTTTCTTTCAAAAATGACTCCAAAAAATTGGAAGAGGTTAAGAGAAGGACAGTGAGGATGAGAAGGGACCTCAAAACTATGAAAAAAGACTAACAAAGTTGCGTGTTTAGGTTTAAGAAAAAATGACTCAAAATAGAATATACAGGAACTCTTCAAATAGTGGAATGGATGTCACAAAGAAAGCAATGACATGAATGCAGAAAAAATACTAATATATCATATATCTGTCTGAGTATGTGTGTACACACAAACACACACACACACACAAAGTTTTTAAAATAAAATAAAAACTAACCAACTAATACAGATTAAAGAAATAGAAAGAGAGTGACAGAGGCAAAAGTGTAGAAAGAAAGGCAGAAACCGGAAAGCTTTAGATTTTCTCTGTGACAAATACAGGTATGATTACAAAGTTATCTCTTACTCTATGATTATAAAAAAAGCTCACTTTTTTATTATCTATTTTTTCTAATTATCAAAACATGAGTTATAAGTACATTTTTTCCTGTTTCATACAAAAAAGTCTATAAGCCGTTTCCCATCAGCCATAAATGCAGATATTGTCTTTTTTCCTAATCAGGGAAGTCAATTTAGCCATTTGTGCAAGTTCCAACATTTTCACCAGTCATTCTTATATCATGAATAGTGTTGAACCTTTCCACTTTTGAGCACATAGTAATATCATTGCAGTTGTCATACCTAAAAATAAAATCCTATGGCTCCCCCCTCCCAAGCCTTTGGTTTTAATTGTGACAGATAAATAACTTGAAATAGCTGGGGGAAATCTTCATCTAGACCTTGAGAGACCTTGTCACAAGAACAAATGGGGATGGGCTCTGAAAACTATTAAGAATATAACAGAAAGTAGACAATTGTATCTAATTCAATCAGGGCTGAATTCAGCCAAATTTTAAAGATTAAATCTGACTAGATAGAGAAACAAAGCCAACAACTACAAACATTATTGAGACCTTTGGATGTGATTTCTTCTGTTTCCTCTTTTCTCCCAACTCAACAATTCATTTCCTAAATTTTATTTAATGGCTTAAAACTATTCACAATGTTTTTTACTAAAGGAAGCAACACATGTGTTTGGCCACTAGGCTGCGCTAAAACATAACTCATCTGTGAAAACATTTTGTTTTTACACTGACTGAAACAACTTGCAAATTCAAACATTTGCTTGTATTAAAGTGTTAGTTTTGAGACAGACTAGCTAGATGGCAAAAATAAAGAAAAAATCTGCTTCAGCATCGGACCCTGGCAGACTCGAAGTAGAATGGTTAGCTCCTAATCTTTTTAAACCTGTCTTCTTGTTTACAGCCCAAAGAAAGTATTTTTCATCAATTTTTAAAAATTCTGTCATAAATTATGTATACAGTGACCTTTTCATTTTGCTACATGTAGAACTGTTTGTTCTTTCTGAGGCAAAGATTCACATTAAAGAATTATACTTAACTGTGGAAGATTTTAGTGTAAGACCTTAGATATTTATATCCCTGACAATATTCTGTTTGCAGTTACTTTAGGCAGGTCCAATATAATTCAATTCCCTCCCTTTGTTTTTAGAGAATCTGAAGCTGCTTCTCAAAGTCTTTTAAATTTTAGAAGTGGTTTGTCAATGTATAATAGGAAGTAACATATTCAGCCACCTAAATTCATGGTATGGTATTTTATATACTAGCTAACAACATCATCTCCTCCTTTGGGATCTGTATTACATAGAGAACAACAACAATTTGTTGTTTTATATATATTTGGAAAACAACATGACAACAGAAAAGAGTTTTGTGTGGTAAATCTGATCTGTGCATAAACACAATTGGAAATATGGAATATATATCAGTAGAAATCACCATTTAAAAATTCAATACATGTTATTAACACATCACTTTTCCTTCTTGCTTTTGATTGTACAATGAGCCTTTTACTTATTTTGAAGCTACAAAGTTGACCTGGTTTAAATTAGTCTTACATTTTATCTTACCATATTTAGACTGCTTCTCTACTTTTTTTCCTCTTCAGGTGTAAAAAATTATGTGGGCAGCTGAAAAGGAATTAGTGTTTATTCTTCTTCAGAATAGGCACTCACCCACAATGCTTCATGTGTGGTGGCTTATCCATTCTTACTGCTAATTTTATCCTCAAATCAGAATCTTGGCTGTTTTTAGGGACTAACATTTTATGCAGCTCTGTTGACTTTGAGCTATTGGAAGTTGGGTACAACACAACCTAGAAAAGATACAAAGAAATTGTTTATCAGTCTGACAGGTTACAGTAAACTTTACTTGGAAGCTCTGGTCAACCCAGAAGCTGTCCATGCTACTTTTTCCTATTTCCTAAAAATTACATGGGATCCATAGAAAGTCACAAGCTTCCATCTCACTGCAACTCATAGCTTCAGTCAAGACAGGTTCATTTTCTCAAAAATAAGTCACATAAGAGTCCTGATTCTCCACTGGCCTACTTTAAAAACATAATGAGCATTGAAAGCTGAATATTCCACTGATTTTTATGTGCTTTTACTAGCAATGAACATTAGAGAGCACTAACCTATAATTTGTTGTACTTTTTTTTTTTTTTTTACTGTCTTGGATTAAATGGTTTAGAAGTAATTATCCTAAATAAATTAATACTACTTTCATTATTCTAATCAATGCAGCTCATAGAACTATGCTAAAATAATATTTTAGACTTCGTTTAAAGTAGCTGAGCTTCAGTTTCACTTATTAAGTTATTCTGTTGTAAATAAAAGTAACGATTGACATTCATTATCATTAGAAAAGATAAATACATGCTATATTTACACAATAATATTATAACACTTGGGTAACAATCTATACTCCATATTAATCTACCCGGGCTTGGTGCTCTGGAGAGGACATTCCAGCTTTGCATTCAGTACACCAGATACTGTTTCAGGACCTCTTTACTGAGCATGATACCATAGTTTTTTGGGACTGAAGGATGCCAATGCCAATGCCAATGATAACACTCTGAACTGCATTGTGATGTCCAACGTTTCTGGGCCATTTCACATGTGTATCTCATAATCTAAAAGCTGTAAGGAATTGCTAATGCAAACCAAGTTTTTTATCCACTTGATCTCATTGCAAACACACATTACTTCCCAGTGAATAATGTTAAACTACATAGTTTGGAACAAAATCAGAAAAATCAAAGCAGATAATAAACATGATTGCAATATTTTTTTCACATTAAGCATGCCTTTTGTGTGAATGGTTCCTTTTATTATCTTAAAATAAACAGTTCCATTCACTTAAAAAAAATAGATATCAACATCATAGCAAAATATCATACTGCATCATTAAATCTTTTATTGGAACGATTTAAATGGTAAAAATAACTTCACTTTTCGGTGTCAAGAAACAGTACAAATTACCACAATGTTACGTTTAGTCTCTGTATATTTTAATAACATTCTGTATTTTAACAATATTAAACACCAAAACTGAATTAAAAAGAATACATTTCCATTCATATTTTTCTTGTAACAGAATCTGTTTCAGATTTTAAAATTTATCAAAGCCCTTTATGTTCTTCTAATAGCTCAGCACTTTCAATTGCCCCACTTGAGGTACAAATGACTAAATTCTAAATTTTCAGTAAATAGTTCTGTGTTGTGACTCAGCAGCAGTCTTCTGTGAGTCTTTTCGGGATGCAAGTTTCACAATGCAGCGGGGGCTCGTTAGTGGGTCTTTGGGTGATAAAAGGATGGATGGTGCCACACCCTAGTTGCAGGAGTAAACGTTCCTTGGTTCGTTCAACATTGATTGATGATCAGTCGTGGTTTATGTAAGATTCACTTGGAAAAGTGCTTGGTTTTCTGTAACCCTGATTCAAGGATACACTTGGAGAAGTGCATTGCCATAAGAGAGATTTGTTTTGTATTCTGTTATCTGGTCAGAGACTGTATTTATGTTATTTTTGGGCTCGAAGCCAGTCTGAGCTGAGAACTGATAAAGAAAGTTCCTTTTAAGTTTGTTTGCCTGCCGTTTGTTAATGAGCGGAGAAGGGGGAACAGAACAGTTCTGTAATGATATACTAAGATACCCCCCCCTCTTGTTAGTTCTCTGTCAAGTAGGTTGGAACAAAGATAATTTATCTTATGACATTTTCCCAATTTGAATAGTTATTTTAAAACAATACTTTGAAAAAAAATCTCTGAAATAGTCAGTCATTAGTTAGGGTAAGCAAAATTCCTTCTTCCCCACGTTGCCCTGAACTCTCTTCTCTGCTGACTACAAGCTATTCTATTATGTTAGAATACATCTAACTTACAACCCTACATACTGTACATTCAGCTTGTACTTAATTGGCAGTGTCAAACCTGGATGGAGCTAGTGAACACTATATGACTATACAAGCATCATTTACTATATGCTAGAGAACAGAAAAACATCATCAGTTAAATGTGGGAGCTTCTGAAATTTGTGGTTGGCCAAGGAAAACCAAAGGATGGACAAACTTGAAACATAAACTAAAAACACAAAGCCAAGGAAATACATACCAACTTAAAGAGTTCCAAATTCTATGATGCAAGAGGCAGAGACAGGATTATCAGTTATTTTCTAAAAGATTAGCTTAGGCTGCTATTTGAAAGATCTACATGAATCAGAACCAACCACTGAAACAAATGGGTATCAGAACATGTTATTTCTTATACGTGAAGGGATAAAATAAAGCTCTCTCAGGTTAAGGTGAAGAGGAGTGGTGAATCTTCACTGTCAGATGGGAAAGAAATAGAACAAAAGCCCAATGAGTTGAAGACAAAGCAGCAATTTTATCCCAACAAAAGAAAAACAATAATGATCACTGAAGAATGGGAAATTATTTAACTATGTTCACAAGGCAAGCCAGCAAACTATTTTAAGATTATCATTAGCATTTACAGAACAGAACATCAGCAATATAAAGCATGCACAACCACGCTTACCCTCCAAATGCTAAATTATTTATTGGCTACTTAAGGATTTGACGAGCAGCTTAAATAAATTAGAGTTTATTTTTTTAACTGAATAATCAAAACTAATAAGACTAAGTTTTTTTAAATTGAAACAGGCTTTGTGCTCAAACAATCCCAGCTGTTCCCATGCTGAATTTACTTCTATGTTAAGCATGTACATTGAATGCTGCTTTGAATTAATTTTAAATATCTGGATTTCCAAAGGCCAGAACATGACAGGACGTAGAGGAGGAAGAAGCTCTTTTGATGGTACAGAATTTAGCAATCCTAATCCCATCTCAAAAATACATCTTCAGAAGGTGGTTTTCAAAACTGCTAAAATATTTTATCCATGTTTAAAGGAAACTAATAAAAACAGAGTCACATTAAGAATGCTTAATTGATGTTCCATTAAATTTAATAAAATGTGTAAATGTGATTAAGTCAGGAACCAACATATGGATCTGCCTGTCATAAATGAACATTTTTATGGCTGTAAAGTTTATATATATATGTGCATGACAAAGCATGCACTTGTATTTATATACAGTCTGCTAAATTAAATATCAAATTTCTTTTCTCTCTCCCTATCATTCCCATACAACTCAATATTGCTCTATTGCATTAATCTGTGAATGAATTGGATATTATTCATGCCTGGAAGCAAAACTCTCATTCACTCACAGAGGCAAGAGTCACAATATTTTTTTTAAATAAAGACAAATATTGCTTGTTTCTTTTGAATGCATACTTACGTCACACAATAAAAGTTTCTTTCAAACAGCCTTCCTCTCACACTGGCATTACCTTCCTTTTAAAAAGCATATATCTACTAGAAAAAGTGTGTGGGTTAAATATGTATCTTAGAACGTGTCTTAGAATGTAAGCCAAATACTAAGAATTCATACGATGGAGGGAAGGATAACAGATTAACAGAGTTGGAAGAGACCATGGAGGTCTTCTAGTCCAATCACTGATCAGGCAAAAAACCCTAAACCAGTGATGGCGAACTTATGGCACGCATGCCGGAAGTGACACACAGAGCCATCTCTCCAGGCATGTCAACTGTTGCCTGTTGCTCTTCCGGGTTCCAGTGCTGGTCTTCATGAGTGTGGGAGCGCTGGAAACCAGAAGACCAAGTGACTGGTGCACATGTCCACCAGCTCAGCTGCTCTTCCGATTTCCCGCGCTCCCATGTGTATGTGCCGAGGAGCTGTTCTTCTGGTTTCTGGCACTCCCTCGTGCTGTTTTGGCACTTGACATGGTGCCGAAAAGGTTTGCCAACACTGCCCTAAACTATTTTAGACAAATGATTGTCCAATCTCTTCTTCAAATCCTCCAATGCTGGAGCATTGGATGGATGGATGGATGGATGGAAGGAAGGAAAAACAAAGAAAGAAAGCACAATTATGATAGATTATAATGTGAATGGGCAAACCTCCTTCACTAGCTATGGCTTCTCCTGCTGCTCCAGAAGGAACTACAAATCCAAGAAGATCCCTCCTTCAGAGCAGTATAACTAATTAAAAACAACCATTGGGTCAATGTTCCTGATATCTGAACATACAGTAGTTTAAATATATGTGAATATGGCCAGTGAGAAATCAGTGATTTACTAGAAGATAACTTTATACCTTGTTCACACCTTCTCCTCTAGTTTCCCAAGAAATTTCATTTTAGTTTATCTTTGCCTTTTTTGTTCTGGCCATATAGGTACATTTCCCTATACAACAGTGACTCTGATTTTATTTTCTAATAGTACCTTTGGTGTAAACTATGAGGTACAAAATCGTTCTTGAAAGTAAAGATTATGCTTGCAGCTATTACTTTACTATATGATGAGCTTCAAAGCAATTAAAAAGTCCAATTAATGAGTAAACCAATATATTGGGGAGGTGGGAGACTTGGAGACTGCTGGGTACAACCAACCCATGTTGCATATACAGAAGGAAGAAGATAACTTCAAGGATATATTTTGCACAGAAATTTCTCCTTTTCCCCTTATAATCCTTCACTGGCACCTGACACCCAGGATTCATATCTGATAAACCCAAGACAAGTAAGAACATAAGAACAATCCTGCTGGATCAGGCCAAAGGCACATGAAGTGCAGTATTCTGGGTCACAAATGGCTAGTTGGACTGGTGGACCACAGTCGCTTTCAGCATTGCTTCAGAGTAATCATGCTGCCTATGATTCAGGAAGTAATGAGCAGGCACCCCTGTCCACTTTTAAACAATCTAAATTGGTTGCCTTCCACAGTTGA